CTGAGTCAATAGTCCTGGCCCCAGTGGGTGGTGAGAGGCTGATTATGAGGTGTTGAACAGAGGCAAACATAAAGCTGGGACAGGCTGGGCTGATAAGGCTTCCCACTGCTGTTCAGCCCCTCTGGTATCAGCAATGACCTCTGCGTCCTGGGCGCTTACACCTCAAAAGATACACAAGCGTCAGACACTCAGTATGCACTTGGGATTTGCACAGTAGACAAGTGTACTTTCAAGCCTTGATTGTATGAGTTTACAATACATAGACGAACCAAAAGTCCTTAAAATAAAACAACTGGGTTTGGATACAAATTATTGGATAAGGTCATAAAAGATTTTTAGAACTGTTTAACTAGTACTGAAATGTTGCGAATTATACTCTTTTTCCGAGAGTTGGATGAAAAGATCAAGGGGGTAAGATGAGTTTGTCAGTAGCTAGAGTCCCGAAACTATTGGTCTAACTTATTATAACGGAAGCAGAAGGAGGTGTTTGCTGTAATTTTGTTTTCGTAATCCTTTTTTGCCTGACTGACAACATTATGGAAAGGATACGTTTTTCTTTACCTTTTAGCTTACTCCAGTATGTTATGTGATTTGTTGCTGGAGAATAACGGTGTAAACCGGAGTGAAAGTTGGAGAGTGGATTCCCAGTGATTAGTTTGTTGTGTTGGAGTACAGGAAGTACAGCTTTAGTGTTATTCAAAATATTTTTTAACGTTTTTGTTGAATATTTATAGCTGATTTTAAAAATGCAATGGGATTTTATACTGACAGTGCGGAATTTCCCTCAGCAATTACATTGCAGCACGACTGGCGTCTGCAGAGTTCTCATTCGTTAATATACTTAATTTAAAAGATGTTGTCCCCATTAAGTACTTAGACACAAAAACATGGGTAAATAGGGTTTAGTTTGAAAATAATGTTAACCTTTAATGTAGAGACATGAAAGGGGTTTTGACCATGTAACGTGATGCAATGTGTCCATTACTGACACAAACAGGAAGTCACTTGTTGAGGTAATGTTTATCCCTCACTTGATTAAGAATATATACTTAGGGTCACATCTGTGCACGCTTGGCTACAGAAAAGCTTCAGCAAGGTGGGGACCACACCTCTACTTACGAGAATGGGAACATGAGTAGATTGGGGAATTCAGACAACATACCAGGAATGCCTGGGCAGGTATGTGTGTTGTTCTGCTGCCTGCTTCCTCATAACCCCTTATCATACACACACACACACTGGGAGAGAGAATGGGAGATCTGCGGGGCTGATAATGACATGAAAAGAAGTGGCAGCAGTGTCTGAGCGCCGGGTCTTTCGACATCTCCTTACCGATTTAAGACAGAGGTCGCTCATGTCCCTTTGAGGCTGACCCAGAAAGACCACGCCAAAGTACAACTCTTGGCCAAAAGGCTTGCATACCTTGGCTGTAGAACAAAGCGGAGAGTGACCACAGTGCAGAGGGGTCACATCAACAGGTGGACAGACTGCAGGCTCAATTTACCAGCAGATGTCATTCATATTCTTGGGCAGTGGTAGGAACAGATTGGGTTTTATTTATAAAAAAAAAAAAGGATCTTCAACAAACCAAAAAAATTCCACACACACCATAAAAAAAGACAATTTCGATCTGTCTGCCTATATGTCTGGTAGTGATTACAAATACCTTGCTGGGAAACTGTGATAAACACCAGATCCTGTGGTCTTTAGAGACAGACACTTGTACCCTATCATCTCTGAATTTACTAGCTGGTTATAAATTCAACCGTTTAACACTATATCAAGGCTGTTTTTTTCTGTTACACTTTCCTTGGCTACAGAGGCATGCCTAATTTAGGTTGAGCTTCAACACACAGGAATGCTTCTGAGAATGTGAATTTGTGCTGACAATAGAGCGTATGAGTGCTTTGAGGTGGACTGTTATCATGCCTCACTCCTCCTTATCTCACTACTCCACAGCCATTAATCCATAGGAAATGTGTTTTTAGCATGTCTCGTCTCGCAAAGATGTGGCATTTCATTTTCACCTATTAGATGGAAAGATGAATAGAGTTAATGTATACTATAACTACAATGGAGTCATTGTTCATTTGCTGACAGGAAATGTAGTCTTGATGTTGGCTTTAAATGGGTTTTAGAATGAGTCCCTTGTGTTTCAGATGATAGGAAATGATTTAAAGTGACAAGCTTTTCTTTTTATCTCATGATTCCCCCCATATCATTCCATTCAATATGATCTGTGATTAAGTGTTCACCCACACCCCACTACTGACATACTGTTTTCTGCGTTTTGGCCAGTCTCATACCTATTTACTACCTTTAGAGTTTGGACCTCACTTCCTGCTGTATCTTATCTTCATGAAATGTGGATAATTCAGGTCATTTTTGACAAGACGACATTAGGTCTGCTCCAAAAGTGATAGATATTGATTCTGTTATCCCGAACGGAGCTTGGCTAGAGTAGAGAGAGAGAGAGAGAGATAAAATGTTGTCAGACGCTTAAAGTCAGTTACTGCTAACTGATAATGTGATTTGACAAATGTTTATTTGTGACGTATTAGCTTATCTATCTGTCTGCCTGTCTAGTCGGTCTCGTCTGTCTGTCTCTCCGCTCTCATTGAACTTTACTGTGACCTAACCGCTGTCGAACTTGTGACAGTCAGTCACCACCGGCAGGCAGTCATTCAGATGGCACAGAGTGTGAATATGAGTCTAGAGGTGATAAATATGGATGTCAGCTGGTTGTTTGGTGTCTCTGAAGCTCAGTATTGTTGGACTGCTGGGCCTGCCAGAGTTGCTGAGTGTGTGGCTGACAGTAGACAAGGACGAAAAACGAGACAGAGAAAGAATGGACATCTAGTGTTTTAGGATGTCCTCTGTGTTCTTGTGTGTACTGTTTCTGCACAAGCATAGATTTCAGGACATTCAGTGGGGCCTGTGATTCATCATCATGTTGCTGTCACCGCCCGCACCATGTCCTACTTTAATGTGCTTCTGCATACGCTCTGGTCTAGGGCTGAGTGAAATGGTTCAAATCAATATCAAATAAAGTTATAATTCTTAACATTTCAGTTTCAGTTGATTTGGCTCTGTACATTGTTACTTGTTGTTATAACAAAGCAGTTCATTACTACAACAGACACTTGCAATCTACTTTACATTGCATACCCTTTGACTTCTTAACAAAAAAAATGTGTGTTTCACCATTTGAGTACTTTTAATGTAAACTAGCAGCAGTAGGAAATGTTATGTTCTCTTGACACGTAATGCAATAAAAGTGCATAACTGTCCAGGCCTACTAAAACTATCTGTCCATGCGAGTGGGAACCAGCATTACAGTATGTGTGTTCGGAGGCAAATTATGAGCATGACAAGGGTGACAGCCATGTCTATTCCTATTTATTACCTTATCCGCCCCACTGTGATGCTGCAGCGTGACGGCAGCATTTCATATTTCCTGAAGGAGCTCAGGGGCTCTCAGATGGAGGATTCATGTCAGCATTTCAAGATATCCTGTGCAGGTGGAGAACATCATGCTGCCTTTTACTACCAGTGAAGTAACAAGACATTTTGCCTCCTCTTGGTCAGGAAAAGCTATTTGAGTCTTTCTCAGCATCAGAGGGTCTCAAGGAGAACAGAAGGGGCGTTTGTCTGGTCCCATTGAAGTGGAACATGGACAGCGCCTCTATCTGGTCCTCTAGGTTTCTCTGAAAACAGAACAGCTTAAGTACGGGCTCAACTTTCTCAAGCATAGTTTTTGAAAGAGAGCAAGAGAAAGACAGAGACCTCCTATCAGATTCTCTAACAGCTCGGGAGGTAAGGGGAGGACCCGGAGGAAAAGCTGCTTTCCGTCCACCAGATCTCCACTTATCTCCCCACACACCCGAGTGTAACTTAAACTCACCCACACACACCCCGCCATGTGCCCGAGCGGTATGTGAGCCATTTGAGAGAAGTTAGTTAATGTCAGAATAGTTTTTACGGGGATTTGGAGAAAAGGATGTGGCAATGTTATGCATGATGTGCGGCCAAGCCCAGGATGGGTTGGCATCTTCTCTGCTGCAGTTGAAATGCAGAATTCACAAGAGATCCGCCATCAACTCCAACACAGCTCCACAGAATTAAACAATTGTAATGGAAAAAATTTGAATGCCATATCCTGAAAATGATGTACTATTGGAGTTATTTAAGTAGAGCTGCAAAGGCTGATCGATCTGCAGAAGACAAAAAAAAAAAAAATCCTAAACTATTGTGATCATGCAAAAATGACAAAAACCTTTCTTCTTAGCCTCTTAAATATGGAGATAAACTGATTTTAAAGACATTCAATTTGACTATTTTCATTATTGTATAGATTAAACGATGAATTGAGTAAAGTCTTTACAGATAAAAAGATAACAAATAAATGTTAATTTTAGCACTAAATGGAATCCAAGATGTGCAGCATGGACGCCACTTTAGCAAAGGCCACAATGGATGGTAATGTAGAGTTCTCTTGACACTTTAATGCTTCCATACATCAGTAGGTGATTTATGTTTTGTCTGATGCCATTCAGACTCTTGTGGGATTTACTGTAGGCCTTCTTGCCTTTGTCAAAATGTTATAACTAGATTTAGCATGTCCATAACCCCATAATGGCAAGATGTAATTGTAGAACTGGAGGGGAAAAAAGCACCAACAGCTTCTGTAAATCAGTTTAGAAGAGTCTGGGGGAGGATTTGGAAAACCATTAGCATACTATATCATGACATCATCATCATACAGTGTATGTGTTTGTGGTTTAGATGTTTAAAGTAAATGGAGAGAAAAACACCTAAGTACAAAACAAATTATAATGTCTTTTCACTTTTTTCTTTGTGCCAAAAGTAAGCAGCCTACACTCTTCTCTTGTGACCATGCCTGTGTTTTGTGTTTCCCAATTGTATTTTATGTTTTTCTACTCCAGTGTTATAGGCACAGCTTGAAAGGAAAACCATTTATTTAAATACTCTGTCTTTTTTGCAGAATTAAAGTCTACCGGCACCGCTCACACCTTCTCCTTTTTGCTGAACTCTACCGACTATCGGATCCTTCGCATGGATGAGGACCACGACCGCATGTATGTGGGCAGCAAAGATTATATCCTCTCCCTGGATCTGCATGACATCAACAAGGAGCCGCTCATAGTAAGAAATGTCCCACACAAACATTAGTCCTGGCTGAGCTCCGTGCAGGTTTACATCTGACCAGCTTGTTGATCTCTCCCCTCAGATCCACTGGCCCGTTGTCCCCCAGAGGAAGACTGAATGTGTCCTGTCAGGGAAAGACACCAATGTAAGTATTCAAGTAGCATGATATCAAATGAGTGCTGATTTGGATGTATTGAAAAGATTCATAATATGTTTTACAAATTATATTTTGGTATTTAGAATATGAGTCTAAGATGTCCCATTGAGCTCCTGGAAAGTCGGCTCAATGTGTTTTTTTGTTTGTATATCTTTACGATTTTCTTTTTTACATATTTAATGAATAACAAAGCTATCAACAGATAAGGCTTTAATTAAAAGTCCCATGCTGGTGACCTTGACTTTTTGGTAGATCTTCCATCAAGCCTTATAAGCAATTCATCAAGACCTGTAAGGGTGACAGACCCCCTAATGTGGCAGCTAATAAAAGCACAGCTGAAAACTAGCGTCCCTTTTGACCTGCTGCACATTTTAACATAATTTCATCTGGTGATATCCTTTTGGAGAAATCAAGAGTGAGATTTTAGTGTGTCTTTTAGGATTTGAATGAAGCAGTAGGGTCAGTGGGGGACATTTTAAAGCTTCTTTCAGTGTGCGACTTGCTGTGAAGCTCTTATTTACTGTCGCTGAATCCCTGATTGCTGATTGCATACAGCTGCCGCCAATTAAGCTCTAGCAGGAACTTGGAACATGCGACATTCAGTTATCTCCGTCGGGAGCTGAAAACATATTCCAAACACCGGCTCACATATCTCATACATTTAGATATTTCTAATTAATTTCATCATCATCTTATTATCCTATTTAGACACTAATTATTGTTAGCCTGTGTTGTCCAGGCAGGCGGACAAAATGAATCAGCCCCTTGAAGCTACAAGCCTGTATGAAGTGTTAATACGATTCAGATGTTCAGCCCCGACAAGGAAGCTCATCATTGAAATTCATATAAAACCAGATCCTTCTCTTTTGATTTTGTTCACACATTCTGCCCCTCTGAAACACACACATACACATTGGTCTCACACATGTTATGGTTGCGCTGGCAGGAGCGGTGATCACCAACAGGGTGATGAGGCTCTGGCTAATAACCCTGCCCCCCCTGCTGGTAAGGGGCGCAGGCTGCTGTTTATCCATCTGGAATGTTCATTTATGCGTGTTTGGTGACCCGCGCCTCTCACCGCCTCTGGCTACATTGTATTGGCCCTGTACGTGCATGTATGAGCCTCTGTATGTGTGTCAGAGGTGGGTTTGATTTCATCACTAAAGTAAGAAATAAAATCGGCTACCGGGTGATGTCCTTGCCCACTCTTTAGGGAATGACAGATGATGACAATTCAAAAGCAATTCAGAGGGGATGTCCGCTCAGCCAGGAGGTCAAAGGCAATCATCCCCACTGTGCTCTCTGTGGGGGAGCACAACTCTGCGCTGAATAATACAGGCAGGCCCACATGATGCGTAACCACACACAAAAACACATCCTCTCAAACCTCTGACTTGTGCATCTGTCGTGTTGCTAAGATCTGCCAAAATGCCTCATCCCCCATCCTGCATACAATCTTTTTTCCTTTTTTTTTTACGTTTGGTACATCCTTTCTCTTTCGCCAGCTGTCACTAGCAGCCAACGTGACGGACAAATCTGAGCAGATCTCATCGGCCTGTACATTTCTGTAGTTGGTAGTTTTGATTTGGGTGGATTGAGAGCGGGAAGGCAGACAGCTGGTCGGACAAAAAGAGATTAAAAAAAGACCCATAGAGCTGTTTTCACCATTAGCACCTCTATGGATGCACACCAAAAAGAAAAAGTGTTGTCGGAAATAAACCACATCAGTGCAAACATTCACAAAAACAGGCATGCCTATTCTACAAAAAAAAAAGAAACATAATTGGATCTAAGAATCTCTGTTACTAAATAAAACACAGTTTTCACTCAACAGTCTTGTTTGGTCTAACCAAAATGTTTTTCGGTTTTCAAGTCTGACAGAATACTAAATTGCTTCTACCCTCAATCCCCATGGCAAACACACTTTCCAGCTGAGATGCACTGCTTTCCTTAGTTTTTGTGGTGTTTGGAAACATTTTTCCTCTGACAGTGTCGTCGTCTGATGTGGAGCCTGGTCCAGGCACACACACAGAGCCAAACACAAGCCAGCCAACAGCGGAAATGATAGATGGGATGTATTTAAGCCAGCTAGAAGGCTTATTAACCATTGGTGGGACGTTATGTATTATGCAACCCTTTTTCTACCATCACATTTTACACACACATTTTTTTAAAACCCTAATTATTTAACCCTGTTTGTTGTCACAGGGTGAATGTGGAAACTTCATCCGTCTGATCGAGCCGTGGAACCGGACCCACCTGTATGTGTGTGGAACAGGCGCGTACAACCCCATCTGCACCTACGTGGACCGAGGACGCAGGTCACAGGTAACCAAAGACGAAGCCAGGCAACCGTGGAGACATTTTGACCTTCACTCTCTGCTTCTGTTAAGACCCTATCTATCGATCAATCTCTGGTCAGAGAACCTCCTCCTGCTCTCGCTCCTCAGTTTCACGGGGCTCTGCTTCTCTTCCATCATTTTCTGCCCTCGTACTTTTCATCGATTTGTGCTGTTTCACGGTCTGGAAGACTCAAAGAAAGAAGCTCATGGCCTGTCCTATCTAGATCGCTATTATTATTGCAAAATTGCTGTAGGTAAGGTACCTAACTGCTACCACTTAAAGGTCGTTGAGACACCAATCTTCTCTTACCGCTGGGAATAACAGGTTGACACTATATCTATAGCAAATACCCTCCCTCACAGTCCCCCTGCTCCTCCTTACCTGTATTTACAAAGCAGAGCCTGTGGCCTGTCTTTCTATCTGGCTGAGAGCCTCTGAAAGGCCATCATTACTGATGGAGCGTCTCATCCATCATCAGCCTTGTAGCCCACCCCTCCCTCCGCCCCTCCCTCGCTCCAGCGCGATGGGCCACAGAGCTGCAGCAGCTGCGATCCACACACTTACATTCACCTCTCTGCCTGTTTAGTCTCACTGTTCAAATGAAGGGTTCACATGTCAATGTAAAGGTCAGTCCAGCCTCTTGTCATTCAGCTTCTCCCCTAAGGCCCAAAAGCTATGTTACTTCACACTATAAAGATTTTTCTGCGGCAAGGGTAGGTGTAAACAGAAACCAATTGTTCCGAATTCTTCGGAGGGCTTCACACATGGCCAGTCTTCAGTTAGCTCTCACTTTTTCCTTTAACGGCGTCACTCTTCCCGCTTTGTGGATGCTGTTTCAGAGCTCCTTTGCAGAGTTTGCTTCAACCTGTCGAGGTCAACATGAAAACTGTACTTATGTTGTGAAAAGTCCAAACTATCCTATCAGGGTTTAATTGAATGATCAAGTCAAACATTGCACAATAGCAATCTCCTTAATGACATATTTTTCTGAATTTATTTTACATTTCTCAGTCCCTCACTGTACAGCTAGATGAAATGTGGTTGTTTTTTTTCAATTGTTGCTTGTCTTATTGTGTTGCATTTCCTTTTCAGTCTTCATTCTTGGCACTGCATGGTTTATGCATGGAGTTTGCAGCTGTGTTTGCTCGACACTGACTCTAATCCAACATGGTTACTAAATAATGAATGTCACCCACCAAGTCTACTTTGAGCTCCAGATTTACATTTTGCTTCCCATTATTTTTGGTAGAATTGTTCGTCTTTCGTTGAGTCTACATGTTTTGAAGATTTTTCATTTTTTTGCACTTTCCTATTTTCCTCCTTTGTTTATGTCGCCAAAGTAAAATTATCTTAATCCTGCGCTGTCAAACGTGGTAATAATTGAGATGGCCCACTGTGCCATGTCTTTGTTTTAGGGATCCCACTTCCTACAGGCAGCCAACTCTGGAGGGAGAACAAATCGGGCAGCAGACTACAGCGATACATCAGAGCCTTTGGAGGCGAAGGTGGGCTGGGGGGAGTTTTGTAGCTACTCTTAAGTTTGGTGCCCACCTAGAGTACTTTTTCAGTCTCAGTTAGAGCTATATGGATAGCAATGGTATCCAAAAAGAGACACTTTTTACAGATCTTGGAGGAACACAAACAGCTTGATGAAACAAATGCTTTTCTAAATATGCTATTCTAAAGCCAGCAGAGCCTTTAAGGGCAACATGACTTGTTTATGCATTAGTATTTTAGGAAAACAAGGATAGAAGCACAGTTGTAGGCTACATTGCAGTAGGTAATTGAGTCAAGAGGTCGACTGAATCAGTTATTATCACCATGAAGGTTCATTTATTGGTTTTCCAAAGGTTTTTTATCCACACAAACAATTTAAGAGTTCTGCTGTTGCTGAAGAACACATTTTGTAAAGGGTAAAACACAACTTTGAAATTGTGTTTCTTTCCCTTTCAAATGTATACCTGTCAGACATCCTCAGCAAGCTTTGAACCCCCCCGACAAAAACCAGTGTTGACACAGATGTTCAAGATGTCCTCTTGCACTGTGGAATAATGAATTCTTGTCTGAGCCACTAACATCAGAAGCATGGTGGATGAGTTTTGGATTGCTCTCAGCATTTTCCTCCACCTCTCCATCTCACAGATAACTGGCTTTGTATGCTTTTTGTTCCCCTCAGCAGATCCAATAGTGCTGTGAGAGAGTCTGTTTTTCAGTGCCTGTAGGGTCACAGCTCTCACCTCGTCATTGTTGATGTGTCTCTTAACTGATCACATTAATGTTTTGATGCCATTTAAAACTTCCTCTGACATCTAAGTACTAGTCTTCAAAGTGCCTTGTTCATGCTGCATTCAAAGAACAACCTTCCCAAACACAACAAAAAAATGATTCTTTGAACAAGATAAATCTGTTAGCAATTGAGTAAAGATAACATGTAAATGATTAATTGTGTTTTTTCTACTTTTTTACCTTTTTATAGGAATACATTTTCCGACTTGAACCTGGTAAAGTGGATTCTGGAAAAGGAAAATGTCCTTATGACCCCAAACTGAACAGCGTCTCTGCTTTGATCAGTAAGTCCCTGCTTGTTTATTTTTCCCTTCCCCCGCGAATACATGCAGCTTTAAATAGCTGCGGAAAACAAAGAAGTTCTGCAATATGACTTTGGTTTATGTCTTGATTTATATGTCATTTTGTGAGTATTACCTCAGTTGGTTGGTACGGTAGCTTCTCCTTTGGTATTAAGCCTTTATGATTTTGAGTGAAGATCTGAAATTATCTTATTGTGCATTATAAAAAGTAAATTGTGTTGTATATGAAATGAAAATTAATGATGTTATAAAAAGACTTTGATGGACCAATAGTCCAAAACTCACACCGAGTTAACAAAATACTAAACAGAGGAAATAGCAAATCCTTACAATTAGGACGTGGCAACTCAATAATTTGAGGCATTTTGGGCTAATCATTTCAGCTTTGATACAGCTATATTTTCATCAATATATTCATTCATTGATTTGAGTGTGCATAAGACGTGTCAATTAAAATGAAGAAATAACATACAATCATTAAAACCATTGACTCAAGACTTCATCATTTTCAAAGGAATGTCTCCCAGGTGGGTGGTCATTTGTCGCTAGCAGCTAACAGGTGGTCAGAAATGCCTGTTGATCAGTGACCTACTGCCCTGCACATCTGCAAGTGTGTATGTGTGTGTTTGAGAGGGAGAGAGAAAGACCCTCTCTTTTACTTCACTTTGTCAGCTCATTTCTACCTGACCTCTGAAAAACTGCAACACCAGTCAAATTAGCTACAGGATGTCTTACACCGCTGGCAGGGCCGAGAAATATCACACTGAGGAGAACGAGGGAAGCTGTATTTCCCGTGGTTCAGGCGTTAGGCGGACTACTTTTCTTACCCACTACACCACAGTAAACTAGAGACTCTTTCCCCTTTTCTCATGCACAGAAAAAGACCTTGTTCCGACGCATCAGATGTCAGACATGTTGAAATGTGTGAATCCAGCTGTCCATTGGAATTACACTGATTGGACTAATGAGTCTGATATAAGTATGATTGCCATATAATTGTGAGGTCAACATTTTTAACCCAGACGTGACATTTCTCACACTTCTGGACAGGGTTTGATTAAATTCATTTTAGACCCATTATGTATTTTGGCACTGCTGTGTTTTTTAAAGAAGAAATATGCAAAGTCAAAACATCTCATTGTGAGAAGCCACAGTTGCTACAGTATACATACATTATTTGGATTTTGGTGAAACCTGAAAGGATGTCATTTTTAGTTGTAATCAGACTTGGTGATAATGTGTTCTATACTTTCACCTGTCATGACTTCAGCTCCTTTTCTTGCTCCTCTGTGATTGACAGATGGAGAGCTGTATGCAGGTGTCTACATTGATTTCATGGGAACAGACTCTTCTATCTTCCGTACGATGGGGAAGCAGACAATCATGAGGACGGATCAGTACAACTCCAGATGGTTAAACGGTAATGTCTCAAATCACGGCTTGTTGTACAGCCAGCATAATTTATTTCTGTCATCTTTTTCCAGACTGTTTATAATTTATTCCTCAGCTACTGAAAAAATGTAGCCGTAATGTTTCAGGCGACCTCCCATATGTACCGCCGTGTATGTCGTCTGTTCCTAGAGCTATGTTGTCTAGGAATAAGATTGTTGATCTTTCCGTCTTGCCCACATGACCACATGATCATCTGACTCAGAGCATAAAATGCACTACGCTAATCGTTGACCGCATGCCGCAGGTTCAGTAGTCGGGGGGGAAATTACCGAATGTCAATAATGAGTCAGAGTGGCCTCGGCTCTCTAATGAACCGTGATTGTCACAGCTCTATAAATGCTGGTCGGGAGTTTCGTTGATGTTTCCAAATCAATCACGGCCTCCCCCTGGTTTTGTTGGCTCCCAGATTTTCCTCTGACCCTGTTGCCCTGACAACAGTCCCCTGGTAGTGGCACACTGAATCGGGACACCTGAGTCCCGTTAATCAGCCATGTGGAATCCCTCGGATATTTCCCCTCCCCGATTCCATGGTTCCTGGTTATCCCCCTCCTCCTGGTTTTGGTTTGTCCTCATTTGGGCCCCTGGTCAGTAACAATGGGGAGGGGCACCCATCAGTGACCCAGTAAGTCAGCCAGTGGGAACGCACTGTGATGCCATATTAAGCATTGTCACTAGGAAGAAATAAAGGGGGATGGGTTGAGGACAGTCAAAGTACTATTCTGGGCTCCAGGCTACTATTATTTAGGTTACAGCAGTATTCATTCTCAATAGACTCTGGCTCATCCGATTTCTCTGTGAGCACAATTTGGTTGTGCATACTGTGACATGTTTCACTGTCATCAAGTTTGTGAGGGTTTTGTTCCCCGAGCAATAAACATTTTCTCCGAAACAGTACTTAAGACCTCTATTGTGCCCATGTTAATATTAGTATAACTACCGTAGGTAACGTATCAAGGTATCAAGGTTTACTACTTTCAGGGACAATAAAGGTTAATGTTTCTTAATTTCTGTCTTTAATCAATTGTTATTGTAACTGAGACCTAATTCTGTACATGAAAACATAATGCAGCAGGTATCTTTCAAATGTTAAATCCCTTTTTATTTTTATGTTACTGCAGCTCAAAAAATAAATTATGTCCAAGGGAAACCAAGAAGGAATATCCAAGTTATAAACATACAACTTTGGCTTTGGAGGAGATACATTTGATATGTAAGACTCAGAGAATGATGAAGCTTCAGGTTAGCTTTTATGCATTAAACAAGGTATGCTTTCCACTATAGTTTACAACAGGCAGTACGGGCAGAGGGAATGATAGGAGCTGTGAGAAAAAAGGTTTAGTGCATATCCAGTTGATATGCAACGTCGATGTACTTCTTATATTGTATTCATGGCAAAGCCTCAGCTGGGGATCCTCAAATTATAGCTGGTCTGTTTTTTTCATCTTGTCTTTCTTTTCTACAGATCCCACATTCATTCACGCACACCTCATCCCAGACAGCGCTGAGAAGAATGATGACAAGCTCTACTTCTTCTTCAGAGAGAAAGCCTCTGAGATGGGCCAAAGTCCCATGACCCAGTCCAGGATAGGGCGTATCTGTCTGGTGAGTTATCACAGCAGTCAGCAAAACTTGTGTTGATCAGCTCAACTGAAAGGTTTATATTTCTCCGGAGTGGTTAGGTATAGTCTGTTGCCTACCTCAGTCTCTCGACTTAGAGGCCCATAAAGAAGGTTCCCCATGAGCAGCAGTAATTGCAGATCCAAAAGAAAAAAGCACCAATTACAGAAAAACACAATCTTTGTTTGCTTATACTGCTAAGTTTGGAAAGTGTGGTTATTTTTATTCCTCTGCACAAAATGTTTGAGCGGCAGAGTTGACTTTTGTCCACATCTGTATACATGCAAATGCTTCAATACAAAGCCAGAGCCGTGTGTCTTCAGTGATGAAGTGCTGTGACCCAAATAGTTGATTTTCCCTGGAGATGGACAAATAATTCCAAAAGGGAATTGGCAGTAATTTACCTGATTATGGCACTATATGACAAATCAAGGCAATTCAATTCATCCTCTGAGGACCACAGTGCATCACACTTGTTAAGGAATATCAATAAAAAACAAAAATGACATCCTCATTAAAGTCAAAAGGGGTGTTTTTTCTTATTTCATTAATTCCTACTTTGGCCACTCTGTTTACAAAGTTTCATGGCAATGGTTGGTAAAATATTTAAGATCGAACAAAGTTGACTGACTGGTAGACCTTTCCACCCCAATAACAATGTGAAAAAGTAAATGTTTTTTACCACAAGAAACTTTGGAAAGCAGGATTCTTTCCCAATTGATGTTACAGTAGATTTAAAAAAAAACATTGAATGCTTGTCTTCCAGCTCTACAAATCATCTCGTCTCTGTAAATTGTGTTGAGTTTCAGCACACAAATCATTCCCCAGGCTTTGAATCTCTACCTCAGCAGTAGAAGTTGGCTGACCTGCTGTGCAGATGGGCCAAGCTGAAACTCAGAGCTGATCTTTTATTCACACAGGTCCAATAACAACAGACCCAGGGCAGTTAGTTTGGATGGCTGTTTCAAACAGCTGTTAGTCAGACGTTGGTCAGACTCTTTCCATAGAGGTGTCTGGATGACTTCTGTCTTTTCCCCGCAGAACGATGACGGTGGACACTGCTGTCTGGTCAACAAGTGGAGCACGTTCCTGAAAGCCCGCCTCATCTGCTCTGTGCCTGGAGCTGACGGCATCGAGACCCACTTTGATGAATTAAGTGAGTTTAAATCACTATTTCCTTGATTTAGATTCTCCCTCTATCGCTATCACAGCACTTGCTCTTTTTATCTGTAGACAGTTTTAAACCCTGTCCCCTCATTAGGTGTGTCCTGTGTCCACCACCTGTTGGTCACAGCATCAATGTTTGTGATCTAATAGTTAACTACAAATCCAAAATATCCAAAATACTTTTTCACATATCATATTCCACACATCAGGGAACATTGAATGCATCTGCTTAGAGTATGTGGTAATGAATACGTGGCAGATGGAAAGTGAGAATTCTTACGTGACCGTGTAACTACAAGTCAAAACAAGGGTCTCCAGATGGACAAGTGGTTGAGAGATTCAGTATCCACAACTTTCTCATTTGTAGAGGTTTCCTACATTTTGCCCTCCATTTGTTTTGCATACTTTCACAATGATGTTACAGTTTTAAGGCATTCGGAATTAGCGTCTCCTCAGATTTTGCTGCAGTGTGTGAGACACCAGCTCACTGTACTGGAAGACTCACACCCAGCAAACCAGCATTTACAGCACCATGTGTCTGCTTATATACAGAAGTGCTGGGAAAAATCCACGGGAAGCTGCAGCTTTAGATTAAAGTATCACTGACTCCTACATGTTAAGCTTGACATGCCTATTCCTTTGAACATCAACATAGCTCATGTAGGTAACATCCTCAAAGGTAACACCTTTACCGTTAGACAGTGATCGTTCTGCTTTTGAGCACCTCTAACATGGTTTGCAGAGAATGTGTACTTAAAGAAATAAAAAAAACAAGAGATTGAAATGCAAGTATACACACGCATGCAGAGTAATCAAAGTAATGAGCAGCTGGGATCAGGCCGACTCCCTGTGGATCATCCCGGCCTGTCGGTCATTCACATGACTGACAGGATTAACAAGGGATTTGTAGTATCCTTCAAATCATAATGACTGCTGGTATGAGCAGCAACATCTTTCACTACTCTCAACTAGTTTTTGCCATTGGAAAATGTGCTCTTGCTGGGAATAAAACACATACAATTCAATGATGAATTCAACTGCAAGCTCATATTTACAATTTAACTTTACCTAAGTCCAGCAAACAAAATGGATTCAACTCAAATGGATAATGCTAAATCAAGTTTCAAATGAAACATGTTTGTACAAAATCTAATGTTGAATGCATGTTGTGGAATTGTGCGGCACTGTAGCAAACCAAAATAATACATAGGTACTAATTTAGTCAGCCGCCTTAATTTAACAGATGACATGACCATATTATTTAAAAAGATATAGGCCTACAGAGGTTACCCCTACTCAGAAAGCGTAATGATTTTTTTCTAGCCTTTTAACATGGTGATGTGATACCGACACTTTATTGTCAAATGTAAAGGGAAACTGTCAAGAGTGGTTAACACAGCCAGTAAAATGATAGGTAAACAACAGATTCAACTAAGTAAGGCATGTACCAAAAAGAAAGCTTTAGAAAAAATGTAAACATGTCCTCCCATCTATTCTACTCACTATTCGGATTGCATCCCACAGGAAAGAGCTTTAGGCTTTTGTCCAAGTGTAGTTAAATTATACATTGTCAATTGCAGATCAATTATTCTCTTCTCCTTAATCCTAGTCCTTTTCAAAAGCTGCTTGTTTTTATAGATAGCATATAATAGTCCAGTTGATTATTATAAGATTATGATTAAAACTCACGCTGTTCAACAGTTTTCCACATGCTTCTTAATCAAGGTTTATAGACTTTAATATTGTGAATTATCCTAAAATTACATAATCATTTGCAGTGTTTGACCTACAAGGTGTTAGAAGTTGCACTCGAACAAGCCATGTGGTCAGCAGCATTATCTCTGTCATCATTTATTTTATTCAGAATTTGCCCTCATATTGTGACAGCATTGAATAATTCAGCCAGTAAGTGTGCATCATGCACAGCTGTGAGCTAAATGTAAAGTAGCATCTCTTATTCCTGCTGTGATGAAGCTTTGCTAGTTACAAATGTATGTTATGCATTAAGAGCACTCTGGCAGTGACAGAAGAGCGCTCTTCTGTCAGCTGTACTTTGAGTCGTCTCTCTACAGGACAGCAGGTCAGTTGTAGTCTCAGTTTATACGAGAACTCGTGGTGAGGTCATTGTGAGTGCTGAGGTGCAGTAAAACATCCCAAAAGCCTGTGGTCAGTCCGTCTTCCCACAACCACAGACCGTCTGGTAGGAATGTATTCTGTCTCCAGTCCTGCGGGTCCTGATGGAGTCCAGCAGAGGCATCAGAGTGGTTGTACTGAGACTCGAGGGACAGAGTAGAGTAGATTTAGAAGGTGAGGCATGGGCTAACGGAAGAGAAAGCATTCAGCAGGGCACCGAGGGAGAAGAGGAATATAAAGACTGAGGGGAAGACTCACAGACACAGGAGAGATGAAAACGTCTACCAGACTAAAATGAAAATGAATGTGTGGGCGATAAAGTTTTATTGCCTTTTCTGAGATGTAATTATGGAGGGAAACATTGTTTTTTCATTGAGTTATTTTTTATGCTACTGTAGTCCCCAAATCCCCAAACCTCTTTACTGTATATAACATTTCAGTTTATATTTCCATTTTCACTGTACTTATTCTAAGTGGACATTTCAACATCATTTTCAACAGCATAAATAACATACTCTCCCAGGTCATCTGACAGTCCCTTTTCCATCCTGTGACTATTCACTGAGTGCATCACTCACACTCTTGTTTCTACTTTAATAAAAAACATATTTATCCCCTCTCGTTGTGTTTGTTTCTATGTTCACAGCAAACAGAGATTTTTTTCTTCTAATGTGACACAGAGAGTGCCTCAAAGACTTTCTGATTTGACGCATCAGAAACAAAAGTTGCAGTGACGCAACTTGTTCTACTTCTCCGTTGATTTATGTATCTTCTCTTTCACTGCGCTCGTTCTGCAGCCAGTAGGTCTGTCAGGCTGGCGTCAGATGGGTTATGAATTTCAACTTTGTCTGCCAAAAGTTAATTTTTGCTTTAGTGTGCAGCCATTACCTGCCATGTTAAGACCTTGGCATGTAAGGACGTTTCTTTCTGAAACAATTTCAAACTTGTGATCAAAGGAGCGTTTTTTTGATTATGTCAGCTTAGCAGTCAGAAATCATGTTTCAAACAAGCTGTGTCAGTTTAAGCTCGCTCCTGTTTATTTTTTGCAGATGACGCCAAGGGCCTAAAGATCAAATCACGTGTTGTTACTTGTGACCCTCATTTTCACATATGTAGTTGTGGCTATATGTTTTGTTCTGTTTCATGCTGATGATTTAAAAGGAAATTGCTTTCCATAACTAATCTACAATAGAAGTCTCTCTGATATAATATAATATAATTTACTCAAATTCAAGAAAGAAATACGGAACATGAGTATGGAACTGAAAAAAATGCAAATAGGAAAAGTTAGTTGCTGAAATAATCACTATATAAACTGTATTGCTATATTTTGGCTGCAGAAAGGATGATGTTGATCAAAAACGCATATTTAATCATATCCTGGGGAAAAGTCAGTTTTTTCAAATATGATGATGAAGTCCTAATTTAGGGAATATTTAGGAAAACAATTTGAGTTGACAGCTCTCCATTTTGAATGTGGTTGGATGGAATAATGACTTGCTTCTCAGGGATAACAATAAAAGATCTCAAGTTATAGAAAGAGCAGATAGGATTTCATGTGTCTTTATTATAATTGGTGTTTTTCTAAAGACGTTTGACTTTAGGTCATTGTTGTACTTGTCTTTTTACAAGGCCTTTTTAAACTCTTTCCATTGGTTTTCCATTAATGCTCAGTATTGAAGCGACAGCGGGCGAAATGTTATTCTACCCAGACTGTCTCATTTATTCAAGTTTTCTTCCTTATTGTTATTCCTTGCACTTTTCCCTCATTAAGCCATCAAGGATATGCAGGGTTCACAACTGCCTCACCCCCACAGTCATTGGATGCATATGGCTCCTATTAAAGTCATGTTTCACCAGAGATCTCTATTTCACTTATATTCCCTGCTGAGATTTTGGAACCAAGGTTTCAGAATTGACAGGGTTTGGATTCAGGATCTCATTGAGGCTCTGGTAACCGCAATTCATGAGGAAGTCTCCTTTAACTCCCCCTCGTAGGAAGCAAAAAGTCTCCAAATGCAACAATTACAATTATTTTTGGTTTGAACCAGGTGGAATCTGGGAACTAATACGTCTGTGGGCTGATTTGATACAAGACACAGACACTAATATTTATTTAATACATTTTTTTTCTTTGTCTGACTATTCATCATGACAGTTATTGTGCTTCTGTGGAAAGGTTGCCATTTATTCATGAGTCCCAGAAAGTAACCTATAGTATTTAATCCATTACCTCAATACAATTTTGAGATATTTGTTCATATTTCTTTTCTTTTTGTTTACTTTAAGTATATTAAACCTATAAAACTAGGGTATTTTCAAATGTGCATCTTTTACTTTAAGGGGGGATTCAATGCTTATTTAGAGGTCGTGTTTTGGGTTTCTACTAGATCATTTATACATACTTTTAACATTAAAAAAAAACACACACTGTCGGTCTGAATATACCTGCGTTCATCCTCTATCTATCCGTTTTAGCACCGTCTCTATAATCCTCCCTGTCTTATTCAGCAGTTTCTGGGCTTGGTAAGCTCCTCTGCTTTTATGGTTTATGACTGTGACTAATTGCTATCATTTTTGTCATTATCTTTTAGGGGATGTGTATATCCAGCCAACACAAGACAACAAGAATCCTGTCATCTATGGAGTCTTCTCAGTGTCAGGGTGAGTCACTGACAGCCTTCTCAAACTCTCTAACTTTCATGCAGTCTGGAGGAAAGGTGTATTTTTGTAACTTCTGCAGGTTTTGTTCCTTTTTAGACGGACTGAAGATGTCAGCTCTGTCTCTCTGATATTGAGATGCTGTGTTGCATATGACCTGTCAGATTCAGCTACAAAGGCAAAACAGGCTGAGAATCTGGAGCCCAGAGGGAGTCTCGCTCCTCTGAGAGGCTGAGCCTAGTTCTTCATAGGTCAGGTTTGATAGCACGTTGTCATTCAACAGCCAGCATTAAAATTCAAGGGAGCCAACCAGACATGTAAATTGATATTCTGACTGTGCTCAAGCAGGGAGAGGTGCGCACCGAGTCATAATAAACATGTCTTGATTAATGTATTTGAGAAACAAATACCGTTATTGTTTCCATCTTTCCCTCAGGCATCAGGCACGTTCAAACCCAGCTGATAAAAACACACGCGGAGCTAATGATAGAGGCCCATGACAGGAGATACAAACATAGTACACCCACCACACAGCAGCAAGAGCCAGAGCTCTGGCGATTCTCAGCAGTACGTGGGTGTTTGTATGTCAGTGTGTCAGACAGCTTGACTCTAGTTGAGTCGGTTTGAGAGAGTGTTTGTGCGTAAGGATGTTTCATTGCGTTCCCGTTAGAGGCCGGATGATTACGTGGGAAGGAAGTAGATTCTACCAGCCGCAGAGATCACCCGTAGTAATTATCTCAGGGAGAGAGTTTATCTGTATCCTCTAGCTGCTGTTTCTGTGTGTTCAACCTTTTTTCTTCTGCCCTCCTACAGAGCTGTGTTTAAAGGCTCGGCGGTGTGCGTCTACTCCATGGCTGACATCCGGATGGTCTTCAACGGGCCTTTTGCCCACAAGGAGGGGCCCAACTACCAGTGGGTGGCATACACTGGGAAGATCCCGTACCCACGACCTGGCACTGTGAGTTATAAACAATAAACAACACACGCCTCCTCCTATCACAAACAAAGTCGTCTGTCATCCTTTTTTAAAAGAACATGTTTTTACTGCAGAAAGAATTTGGTAAATTGCAGGTTTCACATTTGGATCTCTTTTTTTGTTGTCGACAGTGTCCTGGAGGCACTTTCACCCCCAACATGAAATCCACAAAGGATTACCCAGATGAGGTTATCAACTTCATGAGAAACCACCCCACCATGAACAATGCCATATACCCAGTGCACAAGCGCCCCCTGGTGGTCAGAACCAATGTGGACTATGAGTTCACCACAATTGCAGTGGACCAGGTGGTGGCTGCTGACGGGAACTACGAGGTGCTCTTCCTGGGGACAGGTCAGTGCTCAGAGCCCTTTCATTACATTATGGGATGGTTGTCCGTTTAATTCTAGGTCTCTCCACATGTAAGAACAGGGCAGCACCCATAATACCAATAATCAATGGTAAATTAAAAGTTTGAAATTATGATTATAATACTTTATTTAATGGTTAATAAATAGATTGATAAATCATTGAAACTGTCCCTTTAATATTGGTCTTTTGTTCTATCATTCATTTAATGGTTATTGATGTTTCACAAAAGATTTCTTAAAAGCTTCAAATAAAAAGGGGTAAATATTAACGAAAAACTATCAAATAAATTAGAAATATAGCATTATAAACGATTTGTAAATATGTGTAATATCTGTAAATAATTCATTATAATTACCTTTTAATTTACCATTCATTATTGATGGTTATTATTGAGTATTACCTGTCCACAGGTCTTAAGTTTAACTTGCTTTTCTTTTGTGTTTAACAGATCGGGGGACAGTCCAGAAAGTGATTGTCCTGCCCAGAGACGACTTGCAGACAGAGGAGCTGGTCTTAGAGGAAGTTGAAGTCTTTAAGGTCAGTTTCCAAACATCAGTCTATGAACTCTTTCTCTCTCTGTCTGTACATTGTTTATGTACATTGTGTTGGTTTTCCGAGGCTAAAGTATCTCACTGAATATTCCTTGTCTGCTCGTTTAAAGCTGTTGATAACTGTGTCCCTGCAGGTTCCCACGCCAATCACCACCATGAAGATTTCATCAAAAAGGGTACGTTGCTTTAGAGTTAATTAGACCAAATAGTGGGGAGGTACCATATCAATTTTTTCCCGCTGTTACAGATAATTGATAAAAACCCGCTTCTGATGGTCAATACCAATAAGATACCTTGTAATTTATGCACATAGCATATGCTTAGATGTAATGAGCTAAAATAAATGATTTAATAAGCCAAAGCTCTGACATTACCAAATTAAGTTGACTATTGTTACAGAAACAACATTCATAGGAAGGTACCTGTAAGGACTATATAATCAGTGATTATTTTAACAAAAAAGGACTCAAATGGTAAATGCACAGTTTGCCATTGCAGTAATTTGTTGCGTATATTTAGCACACAGTGAGAGTTTACAATCAGTGCAAAATTGTAGAATTTATCTAAGGGAAGGAATTTTCTCAGTAAAACAACTGCTTATACATTTTGAGCACAAGTAACTAAAGACTGTCTCGAAACTTTTTTTATTTCTTTGTTTAAAGGGGACCTATCATGCAAAATGCACCTTTTGTACGTCTTTTATACATGAATATGTGTCCCCGGTGTGTCACCAAGTGTCAGAAAATACAACCCTCTCTCTTTTCCTCCATACCCAAATCTCTAAAAACGGGGCTGCAACGGATCTGATACAGACTGATACTAGTGATGTGTCGGTCGCGAACGAGCCGGCTAAGTGAATAGCGCGACGGGAGCCGGCTCGCGCCCGCGAACGAGACTGTTTTTGTTGTTTTTTGTTAAGTAATACAAGACAGAATGATATGATGATCTCCGCGTTACAGCTGCTCCGTGCTTGCATGCAGTGACATGTAATATCCAAGGATTAGAGACTGTTGGATGCTGCTGTTTTGAGCATTGCAATATATTTATGTTCACTATGTTATTTATTTATGATTATCTTTAGGCTCAGCAAAGATTTGATGTCAGCTGTTGCTGTCTTTTTTTCTATAGTTAATAGTTACTGAAATAGAGCCCTGCGGTTTT